AGCAAAAAGCAGCCACTAACGAGCACTAGACTCTAATATACAGTGAGGCAAGCGAGCCCCACGGCAAGCACGGGAGCCTGCTGATTAACAGCTGAACGGCAATAACAGCTATAAATTCCATCTAGCACATTCCAGTCAAACCTGTCGTTATCTTGAACCCTTCGAGCCCCACGTTGGGTGCCAAAAAGGACTGTTGTGGTTTAACCTCAGCCGGCAACTGAGCACCACGCAGCCGCTCGCTCAGTCCCCTCACAGCGGGACGGGGAGAGAATCGGAAGGGTAAAAGTGAGAAAACTGTGGGTTGAGATAAAAACACTTTAATAGGTAAAGCAAAAGCCGCGCACGCAAGCAAAGCAAAACAAGGAATTCGTTCACTCCTTCCCATGGGCAGGCAGGTGTTCAGCCATCCCCAGGACAGCAGGGCTCCATCACGTGTAACGGTGACTTGGGAAGACCCCCCCCAGCCTACTTGCTGGTGGGGTGGGGTGAGAGGCAGAAACGGCCCTGACTGTGTGTAAGCACTGCTCAGCAATAATGGAAACATCCCCATGTTATCAACGCTGTTTCCAGCACAAATCCCAAACGTCGCCCCATACTAGCTACTGTGAAGAAAATTAACTCTACCCCAGCCAAAACCAGCACAATTTTCCGTTGAAATGTCCTGCTTTTATCATGTTTGAAGTCAGAGGGGAATGTTTTTATGTGTTAGTGCCAGACAGGACAGCTTTCTAGTAACAACCTGCGAACAAAGAGGAAACTGGTCTGTTCTGTCTGAGCAGACCCCAGCCAAAACCAGCACAATTTTCCGTTGAAATGTCCTGCTTTTATCATGTTTGAAGTCAGAGGGGAATGTTTTTATGTGTTAGTGCCAGACAGGACAGCTTTCTAGTAACAACCTGCGAACAAAGAGGAAACTGGTCTGTTCTGTCTGAGCAGAAAATGCTACAACAAATGGGGAGACATCTCAGATCCTCTCCACACTCAGCCTTTACGGTGAGAGCATGAAGTAATTGTTCCGAAGACCTGGTTTTCAGTCCTTGAGCGGTGAGATGTCGCAGAAGCGTGGGGTTGGGTATTTCATTGCTGTCTGTGAGATGAGGACTCAGCCTGCGCGGAGCGGATGCCGTTGTGGCGCAAGTATTTTCTTTGTGCTCCTCCAACGGCACGCACGAGGCAGCTTTCGACTCCATTGTGGTGGGATCATGAGCCACGGTCTGAGCTGCCTCGAGCAAGGGGTCGTTTTGTTTCCCCGCTGCGTGCATGACCTGTACGGTGCCGCTTGCTCCTGCCATCTCCATTTAGTGCAGGGTAGCAAGTGTAAAAGCACCCGTGAGGCTGGAAGAAACAGAGGTGGGGAGAAAGGCAGGTCCCATCATACCTGCTCATTCCCCGAGGGGGGGGTGAAGCCCCTCGCCACCTCACCTTGCCCCTCTCCCGGCAGGCTGGACGCCAACACCCACAAGAAGCACTTGATCCTCCAAATGTGCCAGGGCGCCAATCTCGTCGAGGTGCTGCACTACCACGCCTGCGACTCCCAGTCGTCCCCCAAATCCGAGTACGTCAAGTGCTTGTTGAACCTGCAGGTTCAGCACGTCAGCGCCAGGTTCGCTGTGTATCTCACAGGTAAGGACGGGCTCTGGGTGCTGCCCTGTGCTGGTGCCCTCAACCCCCATGGGGCAATTTAAGCTCCATCTTAAATTGGCCCGGGAGGCGGTGGACGAGGGACAAGAAACACCCCATTTGCTCCCATTTCTGCTAGAATCACGGGTAAGGGGTGAGCTGCTTCGTTGCAAGTCGGCGCAGTAAAAGGCAAAAAAAAAAGAACGGATTTTTGGAGCGCTGGTAAACTCTGGCAATCTTTTGAGCCTGCGGATGGCTTTACGTCACGCTCCAATTCTGGCCTTGCTGGGCTGAGGCTGTTTGCAGAGCAGCGCTTGTTTTAGCCTGCTCACATTTGCAAGACGGAATAACTGCAGCGGGATTTGGGGCTATTTTCTGTCGGTTTCAGAACAACCTCGGTTGCTTGTTTGAATTACGGTGCCGCTCCTTCCTTTGCAGAAAAGCCCAGTGTCAGCAGGGAGGTCCTTGAAAGCAAAGGAATCCTCGTGGCCGACGTCAACACCTTCCTTGGGACGGTGCAGGAAGCGGCTGGCCCCCTTAGAAGAAGCTACTGGGAAGGGGGGGG